ACATGATAATAATGTATAAAATAATTGAAATACAGAGTGACGAGCGCTGTAACACTTTTATACATCTGTCTCCCCATTCAATCATATGCACTCCAATCATGTTTTTTCATCTGGTTTCTTTAGTGGCATTGTTGTGCCAGATACATAATTGGTGCTCAGTATGTGTTTGTCAAATAAGTTATCTCAGTATCTCAAGGAGAAGGGCAAATTAATGAAAGCCTAGTGGTATTTTCTCATTAACTGAAATAACAGCATCTGGTGGAATTGTAGGGTCAGTGAAGTGGCCTGACTTCCAGGATGCCTTCAAGTAGTGGCTGTCCGTGGCATTTCCAGGCTACCCCCATTCCAAAGCTCTGTTGAGCAAAGTTGAGACTTAGAGACTAACAGTATCAGCAGTGTAAGATGGCAGTTGACATTAAAGTTTCTGGAGTCATCACAGACCTGGTACAAATCTTTGCTCTACCATTGATGTGCTGTGTGATGTTGGGCAAGTTAGTTGACCCCTCTAACCCTCCATTTTCTTCTGTACTGAAAAAAATATATGTATCAGAGTGCTGTTAAAAGATGAGATGATAATAATATGTATATAACACCTGGCACATTTCAGTACTTAATAAAGAATAGCTATATATTTAATGACTCCCTCTTGAGGTTGGTGGTATCAAAATCAAAATGAATCAAAGTTTAACAGCACCCAGACTACAATAGATAGATAACTACTTACAAAATTGATAGTTGGTGCGTAGTATTTACATCATTGAAAACCAGTACATTGTTATGATGTTTATGTCTTATTTTTGTCTTTGGCAGACAGAAGGATTTAAATATCCCAGGCCTTCCTCAGTACCACCTTCTCCTTCAGGGTCTCAGGCCTCCAGTCCTCAGAGCAGTGATGTGGAAGACGAAGTGGAGGATGAGAGATACGATGAGGAAAAGGAGGCTGAAAGGGATCGGTTAAATATCAAGTCACCATTTGCACTGAGCCACATTCCACGTGGGAAGAAAAAGCTGCATGGTGAATATAAGAACTGAATTCTACATGTGCTGAGAAGAGCTAATTTTAAAAAGCAAAGTAAGACTAATTATTTAAAATAAAAATGCCACACATTTCATTTTCTCCTTCTAAGTATTACAATGGAATTTATTATCTGCCTAAAAAGTGGAAGACATTGAGTGAATGACAATTTCATAATTTAGAATAAGATCCAAGTTATTTTCCCCAACTCTTGTTTCCCCCATAAAAGTTAGGCATGAGGAGGAGCACTCATTAAAGGCAGAAGATGGAAAAGTGTTTTTAAAATGGTGAATTTAAGTGGTAAGGATTTTCTCTTACTCTGTTTATTTTTAAAGTATCACCATACTCCTTTGCTTACTATTTATGCGGCTTCTCTACCCCACCACACAAATTTCTCATTTCCCTCTGAAAACCTTGATCTTACCCATGAATGTGCACTACCTACATATTTTAAATAGCTAGATTTTTACTGATTATTTTCATTTTTCACATGCATCAGAACCATGATTTATATGTAGTTTTGCAGAGACAAAAATCCATATGTGAACAGCTATCCTAAGTTCATATTTTGATGCATACTAATGCACATTTATGTCACTTTTGAACTCTAGAATTTATGTTGTAATTAATGGAAGATATTATCATGTGAATGGAAGATATTACCATGTGCATGGTACCAACATCTTACTGTAACATTTTTCTATTGTTTAAATAGAAAGACTTTTAAAAAATTTGGTCAATCTTCATAGATGATAAGTTGTTAAATCCCAGTAAATAAATGCATTAATATTTAATAACTTAACTTTCACTGATAATGCCTTGTTTAAAAATTATTTAGACATTCCAATAACATGTGGGAAGCAGCTGTTATGAATAATTCCTACAGAAGCTATCTTTCTAAAAGTAGTTAGAATAGAACATCTATTCAGTTGTAATAACAACAATGTCTCAACATATTCTGTGATGTGCGTCGAGTCATAGTTGAACGATTATTAATTTAGCAGATTTATGTTTTAAGTGTAATTAAGTCTAAACTGGCAACAAAACAAAAACAAAAATCACACTCTTGGATTGCTTTTTTTCATAACTAAGTAGTTACTCACTGTGAGTTCCATTTAACTCACAGTGACTTCCTTTATTGACATATCAATTGGCCATCTGAAGAGGCTCTAAAAACGTTTTGGTCTTCTCAGAGATGGATTATTGATGACAAAAATGGAAGAGCAGCAATGACAAGGTGTCAGATAGTTCAAGATCATTGGAAAACTGTAATTCAGCCCTCCTATTGCTCCATTAGCTAGAAAAAAGTAGAAGACTGTTGGATACAAGCAGCAAATCAGACCAAAATGGAAGATGGCTGGAAATTTACTTTACTTAGATGTCCAGAAAGAAGAGAAATAATTGACCTAAAATCTAACCTTTGACACATGCCCTGTGGATGCCAATTAACCCAGCATCTGCAAAGAAGTTTGAAATGCTCTGTACTGGAGAGTTGAAAAAATATGAGATGGACTTATGTTATAGGCTCATTCGCTGAAGTACCAGAAAGATCTTGTGATAAATGAGGGTTCACTGTTACAATAACCATGAAAATGTATCCCTAGTAAAGTAGCATACAGTGTCTATTCAAATGATATTCTTGATTGGTAACTGGTTGTTCAACTGTTATTGAAAACATGCCTACACAGTAAAATACCTGAAGTTGTAAGTGCTTTTTGTTCAATGAAATAATAATTTGATGATAATAAGTGTGTACAAATGATAGGGCACATGGAATTTAGCTGACTTGCAAACACCTGGCTTTGACAGCATGTGTAGGAATCACCTTCTATCCTGTACTTGGTTCCCTATTCAGACAGCTGCTGCCAGGTGACTCCATCCCTCCACTCTAGTCATTTCTTCATCCTTTTCCCCAAGACCGACAAAAGCTGGTGAGGAGAAGCAAATAAGATTGTTAACAGATGGCTCTATGTCTAGTACAGTGCCTTGTACATAATAGTTGCATAAATAAAAGATCTTATTGGGAGACACAGAGGTTCAAAAAATTGTTGCTTTTAAAGAATGTATGTATTCATAAGTTGAAGGACAAGAACTATAGAAAAAATGTATGGTATCTGATCAGCTGAGAAAAAGACCCTTTTTATGGATTATACCACCTGCTACAGTTTGAATGTTTGTGTGCCCCCCAAATTCATATATAGGTGCTCCTCAACTTACAATGGGGTTATGTTTGGATAAATCCACTGACATTTTCTTTCTTTTCCTTCCTTCCTTTCCTTTCTTTCTTCCTTCCTTCCTTCCTTCCTTCTTTTCTTTTTTCTTTCTTTCTTTCTTTCTTTCTTTCTTTCTTTCTTTCTTTCTTTCTTTCTTTCTTTCTTTCTTTCTTTTCTCTCTTTCTTTCTGTTTTGACAGTCTTGCTCTGTCACCCAGGCTGGAGTGCAGTGGTGTGATCTCGGCTCACTGCAACCTCCACCTCCCAGGCTCAAGCAATTCTTATATTGCAGCCTCCCAAGTAGCTCGGACCACAGGCATGTGCCACCACACCTGGCTAATTTTTGTATTTTCTTTTTAGTAGAGACAGGGTGTTGGCATATTGGCCAGGCTGGTCTTTGAACTTCTGGCCTCAAGTGATCCGCCCACCTTAGCCTCCCAAAGTGCTGGGATTACAGGCGTGAGCCACCATGCCTGGCCAACCCTCTGATATTTTTAATTTATAATGGACCTATCAGAATATAAACCCATGGTAAGTCAAGGAGTGTACTGAGTGTGTGTTGCTTTCATCCCATCATAAAGTTGAAACATCATAAATTGAACCATTATAAATTGGGCCCGTCTGTATTGAAATCCTAGTCCCCAATGTGATGGTATCCACAAAGGAGGCAGAGTCTTTGGGAAGGGATTGGATCATGTGGGCAGAGCCCTCATCAATAAGATTACTACCCTTATAAAAGAGGCCCTAGAGAGCTGCCTTGCCCTTTCCACCACATGACGACACAGCGAGAAAGTGCCATCTATAAGAAATGGACCTTCTACCAGACACTGATTCTGTTGACACCTTGATCTTGAACTTCTCAGGCTCCAGAACTGTGAAAAATAAATTTCTGTTGTTTGTAAGTCACACAGTTTGCCGTATTTTGTTTTAGCAGCCTGAACTGATCAAGACACTACTGTCCCTTCCATGGTAAGGGTTAGAGTGAACAGAACTGGTTTTACATATGCAGATGAGAACATAAATGTTGCAGGTATTATACTAATAGTTTTCCAGGGTACAAGGAAGACTCACGAGAGGGACTGGTCAAGTCTACTTAGGGAGGTCCAAAGAGTCTTCACTGAATGAGCCCAAATGTCTATGAGTAATATGGTCGATAAAATGGCCCATTTCACACAGTGTTTGTGAGGATTAAGTCATATTAAAAATGAGCTCTTTCTAAAGGAATTTACAGTCCAGTATGAAGAGACTGAACAGAATGAAGTTACATTCCCAACTTCCCTTTCTTTGTGGTCAAGATAAAATAATGTAATTCAAGGTTGATAAGATAACACATTTTCATTTATTATAACCAGTTAAAGAAAGAAGAAATGCAAGCTGGAGGCTAATCTGAACAAGTCAGGGCCACTTCGCCTTCTTCTCTCCTGTCTTAGGAACACAATGATGGTATTGGGGGAGAGAAGGCAACTACTGGAAAACAAAGAATAATTAAGAGCCCAGGATGGAGGCCAGATAGCCGAGGTAGGCTATAGAGGCAAAAAAAGGGAAGGGCAATGAGAATTGTGCAGAAAGTGACTGAAAGCCCTGCCTGCAGATCGAGGTATTCTCGTGCATGTATCCATGTTGAAGGCAGAACATTTCCAATTTTAAAACACAAGGCATATAATGTGAAGGTTTTCTGATCTATGATCACTTGTTCATTTCGGTTTTTTAAAAATCTAGAAATAAATAGAATGTAGACACCGTAAGAGAGTTGAAAAGTTATAGAAAATTAATGAAGAGGGACTTTTTAGTTAATCAGTGTATTTGTACCTAAGAACATTCAAGGAATTTGAGTACTTAGAATACTTGGAGCTATATTTTAAGAGCTATTGATCATCGAGACAGCTTTTAAAACAATGATTAGTATGACATTTTTGAGATTGTTCTGGTTAGTTGTGGGAAGAATTATTTCATAAGATAGATGTTAAAAGTGTTCTTTGAATACACATACTATTTCAATCGTCAATATGTACAAGTTTATGTCTGATGGGTAAATAATTTTTAATGTGCCACCCCTCCTAATGGTGAAGTGGTTAGGACTCTGTATAAATAAAAAACAATGATTTCGGAAACAATTTTCAATAACTCGGATATAAGCACTGCCTAGTAAGTCTACTTTCAAATCAAGTCATAAATGACAGGTGCCTATTATAATGCCATACAGATATTTTAATGCTCACAAGTTATTTTTTGACAGATCAACATTACATTAACTTGAATTTAGTTTCATTATTAAATCATGAAACAAGATACAGATAAATCTTATAAGCAGAGTTCTGATGACTTAACACAGTTAAATTGCAATTCCAAGTTACAGAGACATTCACATAAAGATATCCTTGAGCTACTAAATAATGGTAAATACTGATGACAATAAGAATTAACAATGCTTTCCACTTATGACATTTGTCAATAACAACTCTGATTAGGTAAAAAAAAAATTAACATGACGGTCATATTATAATTCTAAATAAATACGTTATTATGTTTGCCACAGGAGTATGTGTGTATGTGTGTGTGTGTATGTGCGCGTGGGTGTATTCAGATAGTACTGAACTCAAGTTGGCTTTTAAAAAGGAGAAGATCAGGTATATTACTGTGCACTTATGTTATCAGAGTGATTTATGTAATGCTATGATGTCAAATAAAACCTAGAGCCTAGTCAATTAGAGTAAGCGGAGTACTTGAATCTGTTGCGTCTGTTTGGTCATGGAAAATGAGTTACCTCTAACAAAACTGGCTTGTTCCCTTCTTCCAATACATAAACAACAGAGTGTGTCTCCATCTGCTTATTTCCCAGTAACTTTTAGATCCATGTTTCTAAACTGAATGCAAGGTAATTCCCAAAGAGCACAAAGGGAGCTCCAAGCTCTAGATCTTTGGCAAACCTTCTACCTCAATGACTGTCTCTTCTCAGCAACCACACTGAAGTGTTCCTGTCACAGGGCTTCTCCCCAGTCATCCAATTTATCTTCTTAATTGATCACTCCTGGATGAGTTATAGAGAGTCATACTCTCCTATTTCCCATCCTGCCATGCTTCTTGCCTTCCTCCCACCTCCTTGGGGATGGGATAAAAGGAAAACAGAGAAGAAGAATTTCTGTTGAGTGAAAACAAAATGCAAGTGGGTAACAAAATGAAAACAACAACAACAACAACTGAGATCAAGACAGGTACTGGCTATAATTAAAAGGAAGGAACACTTTAGTCTTCAACCTTATAATTATAAATATTCTAAGAAACTCAAGAGTAAGACACAAGGTGATCTAAAAACATTTTTGGTCATCTAAACAGGACCTGAAGCAATGAAAGAAGATGATGTTCTCAGCTAAGCATGTATATATATTTTGTTTCTGAAAGAATATAACTATCTGTGTGTGTTCTTAAGATTACAAATGAATAAAAGGGTCCAAAGGTTTTATTCACATGGTTCATGTTTTCAGAGAGAATAGAACTATAATTAAACATAATATTTTCACCAGTTAAGCAGACTATCTTCCAGTAATCTGGTCTGATCAAAGTTTTTTTCTTCATCTGTAAGAAAAAAAAATGTTTAAAATAAATATACACTCTGTGTTTTAATAGAGGAAAAGGTAAGACAGAGAATCTCAGGAAATAAACATTTAGCCTTCTAAGCTATGCTAACTCATGGACTCTGCCACTGAAAATTTAAACAGTATGGGTTTTGATTTGTTCAGTTTAAAATCTTTTCTTCTCAGCTTGGGACACATTGGGGAATTCATATTTTACATCTGAACCTCTATAATGACTGAAACTACAGTATGGTATGTCTGGTAAAAATCTCAAAGAGCCATGTGTCTCACAAATTGACTTATGTCTAAAATATCCACCATTGAAATAATTCATTTGCATCAAAGGACTGTCTCTTTATATTTCCTGTTCAAATGGATCTTACTCAGGAAAGATGACATGGGAACACATTTGCAAATGTTCTTTTATTAGGGGAGCTAGAGTTCTGGGGAGGAAGTGAGACAAAAAGAAGAGGCATTCGTTTGCTGTGTGGGATCGCGAAACTTTGGAGCATGAGTTATCACATCTGAGGTGGGGATACTTAAAGAGTTAGACAATAGCAGGTTCCTGGGACTCTAAAAATAGGATAGAATGACTAAAAGTTACAATCAGGTAGGGGGAAGGAGTGGCCAGGGACAAAGTGCATCTACTAATTTCTTCTAAGATCACCTTTCAGTTAGTTGCAATATAATTTGAATGTTTGGGTTACATCTTAACCTGAATTTCTAGCACACTTTAAACCATTGCAGAAAATGGGCTTCTCTTTAAAGGGAAGGAAGAAAACAAAACAAAACAAAACAAAACCAGAACCGCATCCCTGTATAAATTCCACTGAAACCATAATTCACTAAATAAGAGCTTTCTAAATAATATTGAGGGAGTATAGAATAAAAATACTAAAGAAGACTAGTGATTAATTTATCATATGGGAATCAACAACTTTTCTGTCAATTTAGACTAATAAAATTAGTTATTTCATCTTCAGAGACAATCCACTTAGAAAACTTCAATAATTAAAAATATATGTATTTATTTTCCAAAAAAGACCTGAGATGGGGACCTTATAATCACATCCTTTCCTCAAACTGCTAATGAAGATACCTCTCCTCTTTAAAATTAGCTCTCTCTTGTCCATTATAGGTCACTTTCCTTTCTGGCTCTGCACATCTTCCCAACGATCAAATCTAAAACGTCACTATCTACCAATCTCCATCAGAGCTCTTTTCATACTGACTTCAAAAATCGCTGGGTTCCACATCTTGGGTTTTAAAAAGAACACCTTGGATACAGCATCCTCTACCCATTCTTCAACTATTTCACAACTTTCTACTGCTAGAGTTCTGAGAGTCATGCCAGCTCTCCAGAGCCTCAGACCTGCTTGCTCTTAACTTTGCAGTTTACTTTCTTGTATCACATTCTGTAAACAAGGTTTCAGATATGGCATAGCAGCAGCAAGCTGTGTCACTGGGCAGGAGGTGTGGCGAAGTCCGGTGACACACTGTTTAATGTCTCCTGAGTTCTGTATTCTTACTAAACATTCTGCTATAGTAACCATTCTGATAGTTTCCATCCTTAGAAAGTTTCAAGAGGAGAGTGATCAGTAGCATCAACTACTGAATGAATTCTGGGATACTCTCTTATTCTGATTTTTCTCATCTTTCTGCTTGCTCCTTTTAATGTCCCTTCACTGGTACTATTTTCCCCCATTTCCCTTGATTTTTGGGTGTTTTATTGCTTCCCTTTTTCCACTACATCTAAGCCCTAGAAGGCATCTCCATTCGCATGATTTCAACTTTTATTAACTGGCTCTGAAGTTTCTGTTGTTTTCAAACCTGACCAATCATCAAAATAATGTGGAAGAATTGCTTAAGGACAGAGATTCTTGGGCCTCACTCAAGCAGTACAGAATTGAATCTCTGGGCCTAAGGCCAAGAAATTCTGGGAGAGGGGTGCTGCACTCAACATAGAATCCCAAAAGTAAGCAAAGCTGTTCTGTTAGGCAGGTGAAATAGTCAGTATGCTAGTACCTTCTGGTGATTTTTGAAGGGATGCCAGTAAGATGGTTGCTGCCTTTGGAATAGGTAGTAGTCGGGGATTTGGGCTTCGTCTTTCTGGAGAAACAAAAACGTACACAGATTCTGTTAGCATTTATATATTCATGTAGATAAGTCCTATTCTAACATGCAGCAATACTAGAAAAACCTCTATGAAATAGATTTTGAGCCCTCAGCAAAGGACTACTTACACAGAAGACTAATTTTTTTATAAATAGAAATATGTCACACTTGCCTTGGAAATGACTTACAATTGGTTATGTCAAGTTTACAAACAGGGTATGGAAGAGAATTTTAAACTATATGCCAAAGAGAAGTTTAGATAATAATTTACCTTTTCGGCCAAATAGAAGGTAATTATTTGACTGAAGGAGTATCTGCTAAGAATTCAAAGTTATTTCAAATCTAAGTTGAAAAAAGACAAATTGTTCTGATTCAGCACCAAACATGATTTCTAATTTGGGGCAACTGAAGTTGAGAAACAAATCTCACTCTCATAAGATAAATAAGCTCAATTAGACAGCATGTTTGAAGAGCCTAAACAAAAATTTAAGCACCTACTATGTGTTCAATAGCGGTGTTTGGTATTTTTCCAAGTAAGTATACTTCTTCATTTTAGCATTTCAATCTTTACAATTTTATCGAATTGAACTGTTATTTTTTAAAACAATACGATGGAAAGGTTTAGCATGGAAAAGAATAGTCCCTGGTCCCATCCTTAACTGCCCGCATGTTACTCTTTTGATTTTGAACCTTTGGTAGTTCTTTCTAGTAAAACAGAAGCATACATTTGAAGTTCCTAGGTAAGTTCCTTTTTTTAGTAATAACAGCGTTTAAGAGGAGGCTGAGTAAAGTTCCTGCATAAACACGCAGATACATTTCTAGAAGCATTTGCATAGTTCTTCCTATCTCGCCTTACCCTTCTGAGCTGAACCTCAGGCCCTAACTCCCTGGCGACCTCTGCACACCCTGGCGGCCAGAGGGTTGGCTGAACAGCCGCAAGCCAATAAAGCCTGAGGAGCCGCAGCGCCAGCCTCGGCCGCCCTTGCCAGCATTGGCGCGGGCTGGACGCGCGAGCTCCCAGCTCCGGTGCTTGGCCTCCAGCAGCGGCTGCCAACCTGGGCTGCCCTTGGGCCGACTATATCTGAGAGCGCGTCAGAGCCGCGTCTTTCCGGTGAGGAGAAGCTTTCTTTAGGCACCACCGCGGAGTAAGCCCTGCCCGCCCCATCCTATTTCAAAAACGCAGGACTAGCGCCCTGACACCCCGGTCACTCACCCGGCAGTGGCCGATCGGAGAGGTCCTTCCTCCGGCTCTGGTCGGAGATGAAGCGGCGACCCTCTGCAAAAACGAGACCCGGGGCTCAGAGCCCGCCCGGCCCGGGACAACCCGGGCTTAAACCTCAGCTCCTCCCGGCACAGCGCAGTCCCCGGGCCTGGGGAGGAGGCAGGTTGCTCCAGGTTAGGGTCGCGAGGGGCTGCCGAGTTTCCAGCGCTCCCAGCGCAACGCCGGGGTGAGCCAGGCGCCCTGGAGACCTGGAGGAAAGCCCTGCGCCTGACCGGACGCCGGGTTAGTGCGGTAATTCCCAGGCAACCCCAGAGTTCCCATTTGGACCAAGACCAGCAACCCTCCAGTTTTGGATGGAGAATTTCTAATAAGGACGGAGGATTTCCAATAATCAGGGACTCTTCCCCTCTCCCACCCCTCCCTCACCTACCGTTCTCTTTGATGGCCTCGATGATTTAAGGGAATAAACTCGACATTATTCTCTCTCCATAACTCTCCATCTATCTGTTCATGACTCCTAAGGGTCTTCCATTATTGTAGGAAGAGCAAAATATTTGGAACTTACGTGCCCCTTTCAGGTAGAGCATAGCTTGAGGAGTCCAGTTCCTTCTCTCCAAGGGTCTCTGTAACCCGGGAGAAGGGAAGAGCAGTTAATAAAACATTGCAGCTCAGTCCTCTATTACAGCAAAATAAAAAAGAAGATAATAAAACAAGAAGGAAGAAATAAAGAGCAGAGTGGACACAGAGTGCGCATTTTTTTTTAAAATTTTTATTTTGCATTTGATTACCTGCGGAGCGCAGCTGGAGTTTCCCAGGAAAAAAAACACCAGGAAAAGAGCCAAGATTGTTGCTGCCAGACTTCTGAGTACCTGTATGAAGCAATCAACCAGAAAGGGTCATTTCTGTGCCAATAGGATCTTCTGCTTCCTTCTTTGACGCCTGGACAATTACAAACCTCTTACTTCTCGCAATATTCTGTTTTAATACTCAGTTTTCTGGAGGTGTTTCCCTTCTACCTTCTAGTTAATTCACAAAGAGTCCACTTGAAAAAACGTATTTAGAAACATATTATTCGTATTACTTCACCCAAATGAAGAATAAGATGTGATTTTTTTTCTTAGTAAAATCAAATGATTCTGTTATTCTAAAGGCATATCATTCAAACATCCTTTAAACTCTAAAATGCTTATTAAACATGAAATAGGTAAAATGCTATAAAGCGTTTTAAAACACAGCTAAGAAGCCTCAAGTGAATAAAGTCTTTACTTACCTTCATGTTCTGCGTCTTTTCAGAACCCTGAAATTACTATAACTTTACGTGTGAGTTTTCAACTCTTGCTCTGAAACTGGAGCTTTTAAAATCTTGGTGTTCAGGACCCCTCCCCCTCTGGAGTATGTTTGGGAGTCCACAGGGACATCTTGTCAGTCTTCAAGCAAGATTGAGAATCTGATGACTCCTCCAGGGAGCTTCATTGCAGGAAGTAGAGGAATGATTGATGGGCAGAAATTATTTGTTTAAATACTGATTGCATCACCCAGGAGACATTCAGAATGTGTCAGCATCATTGCCCTTGCTTTTCCTACCAGCTGCCCAAAGTAGTGTGTTATTATTATTATTAATGAAAACAATCAATAGTCCAAGGCAGAATCAAAAGTGAAAGAATAAGTAAGAAAACTCGTCTTGGGTAACTACTATCAGTCTATCACTGATGGCTAAACATGTATGAAAAGGTTTGGGAATCTCAATGGAATCTGACATCAGTCATTCGCTTAATTATCAGTTCATTCTGCTGTTTAGCAAATATTTATTGAGCGCCTACTATGAGATACACAATCCTTTTATTTCAAGGGACACAGCCATGCACTGAAAAGACATGGTCTCTTCTTTGATCAAAGTTACCTACTAGTTAAGGTACACAGTAAACTGATGAATAGATAAATAAGACACAGTAGTTACCCCTTAATCATAGGGGTGTGTGTGTGTGTGTGTGTGTGTGTGTGTGTGGCAGGGGGCATGTTTCAAGACCCACAGTGGATGCCTGAAACCACTGATATGTATATGCCTTATGTATACTATGCTTTTTTTTTATCTGTTCACCAAGATGGTTACTAATTGATTAATAGGAGAGTGGTATTTACATATGGACATGCTGGACAAAAAGATGGTTCATGTCTTGGGTGAGCTGGAGCTGGACAGTGAAAGATTTCAACACCCTACTCAGATTTAAAACTCACAATTTAAAACATGAATTCTGGAATTTCCCATTTAATATTTTCAGATTGTAGTTGACCATGGGTAACTGAAACCATGGAAGGTGAAACCGCAGATAAGCAGGGACTACTGTAACTACAGAATGTTTTAAATCGTTAAGTAAAGTAAGCAAGGTGAGGTGATAGGATAAGTGGTGGGCTACTTTAGGGAAGGTTAAAAACAGAGGGTAGTCTTGAAGGATAAGGTGAAGTAATGGGAAAAGCTGGGGCAGAAATTAGTATTCCAGGCATTCTTAATAGAAGAAAGAAAAACAAAATATATGGACAGCAAAGAGTATGTCTTGCTTGGGGACTAGGAAAGAGGCCAATGTAGGCAGAGTTGTGTGGGTGACAGAGGAGGTGCTTTGAAATGAGATTGGAGAAGAAGAAATGGGCTAGTTGATGTGGAAATATGATTAGAAGCAAAAGATGATGATGGCTTACACTGGGATGGTACACACAGGGAAAGAAGAGCTGTAAATGAATTTGGAATACATGTTGTGGAGGTAGAAAATATAGAACTTGTATATAAAAGGGATTTGAGAGTGTGAGAAAAAATAAATCAAGGATGATTCTTAGGTTTATGGATAAAACTGTGGGTAAACAATGATGTAATTTACTGAAATTAAGCCAGTTAAGAGAGGGAAATTAACACTTGCCATATAGGCATATTAAAATTAAAATGTATGTTAAAAATATCCAAGTACAAGTACAAAATAGGAGGTTGGAAATACAAAACTCAATAGAGGTCAGTAAAGAGGTCACCAGCCTACAGATTTTTTGGGGGGGAGGGGGGCAGAAATGATTAATTGAAGAATTTTAAGAATTCTATGAATTTTAAAACCAGTAAAGGGATGAGATTAAACACAACACTTAGGGAGTGAATGGGACTAAAGAAGAGGAGCAGGCAAAAAAAAAAAAAAAGAAGAAGAAGAGCAGGGACAGAGCTATGGAAACAAACGCACAGAGAATGAGCAGAGGAAGAGCCAGAAAAGGAGGTTGAGGTAGAGTCAGAAAGAAAGAAATTCCAGGGGACCCTGATGCCATGGAAGCCAAGTGAAGATCCAGTAGTATTGGGAGGTCAAGCAACATGAGCTCCAAGAAATACCCACTGGATTTGGAATATGATGGTTTTGAGGATAGAAGCAAGATTGGAGTCGGTTGAATAGTGAATAAGATATGATAAATTAAAGCCAAGAAAAAACAATCTCTTTAAGAGATGTCACGAAAGAGGGAAAGGAAAAAATGAGAAATATTTTTTTACTGTTATTATTATTGTCATTGTTATTTTAAAGACAAGGTCTCACTATGTTGCTCAGGCTGGGCTGAAACTCCTGGCCTCAAGTAGTCCTCCCACTTCAGCCTCCCAAACCTCTGGGATTATAGGCACCCTTGGCCTGTGAAATCTTTTTTTTTTCTTTTTTAAAGATAAGATAGAAGATTTGTTATACTTTTTGGGCTTAAGGTAACATCTGAAACCTCTCATTTCTAGGCAATTCCTAAAATTACCTGAATTACGAATTGTGAAATTAGGAATCTTGTTGGGAGGCAGAGTATTTCTTCTATTGTACAAACTGAAAATGCCAGATAGTCACTTCTCTCGCCTCCCTATCAGGGAGAATGTGGGCATGTGACATGGGCTTCACCAATCAGATGAGCATGCTCAGATGGAGAATCTCATGCCGGGATGGAAGAAGTGCTCGGGTGAAGTGGGGGTTGTAGTAAGATTGAGTTTCTGGAGTAGTCTTAGCTACAGTGCTAGTGGCAAGTTCCAGCATCCAGTGCTCCAGCTGCAGTGTCCTTTTGATAAAATCTTTGTTTTGCCCAAATCAGTTTGTTGGTTTCTGTTGATGTGACAACTAAGAAACCATTTGTAAGACATGTATGTTGATGGGGATGATCAGTAGGGAAGGAGAAATTCATGATGTAGAAGAAAGGCAAGATAATAGTAAAAGGAAATTCTTAGAAGGCAAGAGGATTCAAAATGTATCAATATTCAGTTAAAAGATCTGTATACACAGACAGATGTGGAACAAGGACCTGAGTATCCACCACATACTAAGTTACCATGAAAGAAAGAGGTGGTCGCTGTCTTAGTCCATTCAGGCTGCTATAGCAAAATACAACAAACTGGGTAGCTTATAAACAATGAAAATCCCTTACTCAAGGAACTCCAAGATCAAGGTCCAGCCAGCATGGTTGGGTTCTGGTGAGGGCCCTTTTCTGGGCTGCAGACTGTTGTCTTCTCTGCTGTGTTCTTACATGCGTGGGAGGGGAAAACAAACTACATGGAATGCTTTTATAAGGACATTGATCCCATTTACAAGGGCTCCAGCCTTATGACCTAGTCATCTTGCAAAGGCCCTACCATCACATTGAGGTTTAGAATTTTAACATATGAATTTTGGTAGGACACAAACATTTAGGTCATAGCAATTCCTTCTCAGTCAGGGCAGTGGTTTTCATGTATTAGTGTGCATGGGAATCACCTGGGAATTTGTTAAAATGCAGATTCTAATTCAGTAGACCTGGAGTGGGGCCCAAAATTCTACGTTTCTAATAAACTCCCAGCTGATGGTGATAGATGCTATTGGCCCTTGGACATTTTGAGTAACTCAGATTTAGGAGTATAAGAAGTGCCGAAAACTACACCTCAGAGTTTGTGTGGCTGGAAGAATGGCTAGACAAAGAAATAGCAGGGACTCTGAGGAGAGAACTGGTAAGTTTCATTTGGGATTGAAGTTTAAAGGGCTGATGCTATCTACCTGCAAATACTTGGAAAAGAGATTGGAGTTTGGGCGCTGATATTTAGACTTGACAGTCATATGCAGACAGGAAAACTGAGGTTTGGTTACTAAATGAGAATGGAATACGGAAAGTAGTATGTGAGTAGAAATTTGAGAACTCTTTACTGTCTTCAAGGAAAAAAGTAAAGCAGGAAAAAACTAGAGGCATTAGTGTAATGTTCTATTTCCACTGTCGTAGGAGAGGAGAAAGATAAAAACTGACTAAAAGGTTATCTGGATGCTATTTTAATAATGCTTCAAATGTGAGATTTTAGGATTTTCATTTCTAAGGATTGTAGTAATTTCCTTCAAAAAAGAGCAATAAAGAAGTGAAATACGCTGTGTTTATATTTTAAATAGTCACACGTGAAACCTGATTACTAGGTTACCTGAAAAATAAGTAAAATGCCTTTCCGTACCCAAAACACAAAGGTTTTGGGAAGAGGAGCAGGAAAGTGAATCACCAATAAAATGTGTTTTGAACTTACAATTTTAAGAAGAAATAAATAAATGTGCTTTGCTGGTAATAGTTTAGCTAATGAATTCACAAGCAGATGTCTTACGTCAAAGCTGCCATTTTCAGTTTAATGTGCACAAAAGAAGGGAATGGTTTTGACATATTATCAATATTGCAGTCTTATCAAGAGTAACATGCTAGAATGTATTACTTCTACAAGGATTTCCAAAGGGCACTGAACCCCAGTAGAATGTTTTTTTAAGTCACAAAGCTTTTAAGGTTTTTACAGGTCCAAAACCAGACATGGGTTAAGTTAAAATATTTGGTATAAAACAAAACAAAACAAACAACAAGAAAAAAACCAAGATAGGTAAAGCCGTTGAATTTTATTCTCCTGACAGTACGACTAGGCAGTAGATGTTGAACAAATGGTCTTTCAAGCCTTTTTTAAAGGCACATTCAATGAAGACTGTTTTGAATTTGGCACTGTTACCTGGATTCTCGTAGTTGACTGTACAGTACCCAGACCCTATTTAACAAACGATCACCTGTCACTGTTTAAATGACATTCTTTCAAGGTCAGTGATTATTGTGTTCACAAGGAAAACAGCTGCTATCTTGGATAAGGTTATCTGAACAATATGGCTATTATGATACAAAATGCCTAAATTTTTGATGACAGAATAGAGAGAATTTGGGTTGGATAGCACGAATAAAGATATGAGTTCAATCTTATATGGGGCTTCTATTCAGTCCCTTAGGCCAGTTGTCTCATAATCAGATGAAAGAAGTCATTTCCCCAACGGGTTACTAGTTTTAAGAGGGGCTTTAGGGGCATTAAGAAGGCCTGCTATCCAAAATAAAACTTCCCATTAATTGGCCAAAGTTTTTTTTTTTCTTTTTTTTTGAGACCGAGTCTCGCTCTGTCGCCCAGGCTGGAGTGCAGTGGTGCTATCTGGGCTCACTGCAAGCTCCGCCTCCCGAGTTCATGCCATTCTCCTGCCTCAGCCTCCGGAGTAGCTGGGACTACAGGCGCCCGCCACCACGCCCGGCTAATTTTTTGTATTTTTAGTAG